CGATTGTGGTGCCCTCGCCCAGCGAGAGCCTGCGGGCGATGAATCTGTGCTGGACGCCCTCCCACGGCATGGGGTGGCGGGTCGAGCCCAGCAGCTGCGAGGAGATGATGCCAACTCCCGACGAGACCGCCGTGGCCGCGGAGCCCGTCTTGAGGACGCCTGAGGCCGCCAGTTGCTGGCCTCCTCTGATGGCCCAGCCGTGGGCCTGCTCCACCGCGGTGGTCGACGTGAAGCGCGTCTCTTGGATTGGCATAACATGAGGCTCGATCCCCTTTCGCCGCATCCACTCGTGGACGCTGGAGGCCGAGTTCCATGTGTTGCCGTTGTCGGTGCACGCGATGAGGTTGCCGTCTAGCTTGCCAGGAGCTAGCAGCAGAGGTCCGTGGTCAGGTAGGAGTCGAGCCAACTGCAGAGTGCCGTCAGTAGCCGCCAGGCTGCTTGACCCCGCCAGCTGGCTGCCCCTTGGCTCGAACTGGGCTGGGCCCTCGGGGCCGACGCCGCCTCCTGCAATCGCGGGCATCGGCCATCCCCCCGTCGGGGGCCGCGAAACCAGGAGCGACGGAGGGGGGGGCTGCAGCCCGCGCGTCCGCGACTCCCTCGCCCCGTCCATGAGCGGCGGGCCTTGAGGGCCACTGCCGCCCTCGTGCGCCGCCCGTGCGGCCCTACCCACGGGGCTGAGCATCAGTAGGAGCCCCAGGGTCCCCTGCAGCAGCCTCCCTGGCCGCCTTCTGCTCGGATGCGCGCTGGCGGGCAGCCTTTGAGGCCGTCGCTCCAAGCTCGGCGGCGTTGCGCTTGGTCTGCTCGGCGGCGCCGTCGGCCTCGGCTGGGCCCGCTGGGTCTGCAGCAGCAGGCGCGTGCTGCTCTGTTGCTGGGCCTCCCCATAGCTGGCGGGTCTTCCTGGGAAGGCTGTGCCGCGGCGCCCTCGGTGCTGGCCTGGTCGGCCTCCTCGGCGCCCCCGCGCTTGCGCTTCTTGGCGAACGCCTCCGCCGCCTCCTGCCTGATGCGGCGCATCTGCTCCTGGCAGTTCTGCTCGGACGTTTGCTGGGCAGCGCGCGTGATCTCGAGGCCCTCGGTGCACATCTGCCTGAGGGTGTTCTGAGCCCCCTCCTCGAGCTCGCCGAAGTTCTCGAGGGACCCGGCGTCGAAGTTGAACGTGGGCTGCTTGCCTGGCTCATGCGGCGGCGCGCCGACACCCGAAGCCTGAGCCCGACGGCGCAGGAGCTGGGTCTCCTCCGCCTGGGCCTCGGCGAGGCTGAGGGATCACGAGTCGCGCCAGTTGCGGCTCTCGGCGAGCTGCTCTTCGGCGGCAGCCATGGCATCCGCGGCCCCGTCCAGCTGGCGCTGCCAGTTGATGCGGCGGTCGGTGGCCGACTGCAGCTGCAGCTCCAACGTCTTGGGCGCGGGCGCAGGCGGCTGCGGGACGAAGCCCCTCGCTGCATCCACCGCCTCGCGCAGCCGATCCGCAATGGCCTGGTCAGAGATGGCCGGGAGCTGGTCGAGCTCGCTCGGCGCCGCAGACGACCAGGGGGCCTTCGGGAAGTTGGGCCGACCGCCAGCCGCGAGGGTGCCGCCCCCCTTGCCGCCAGCGTCGCCGCCGTTGCCGCCCTTGCCCTGGTTGCCGCCCTTGGGCGAGTTGCGGCCCGAGCCAGAGCCTGGCTTCGCCGCTCCGTCCGCCCAAACACCGCCGCGGGGCGACGGCTTGCTAGGCTGGAGTTCCAGGCTGAGCCCGCGCTGCCAGCAGGTCGCGTTCTTGCGGAAGTTCCACCTGAAGCGGCACCCTGTGCAGATGACGAAACCTGGCTGAGCCTTCGGCGCCATGGCGGGCACTTCGCAGACTCGAGAAGGTGGGGCGAACCACCTCTCGCCAAAACTGTCGGGCTGAAAAGCCCTGGCACTGGCCGCGGACAAGCGGTATCCACGTGTTCCCCTGTGGAACAAAGCATTTTGAGCCAAAATGGCTACGGAGGAGGAGGAGGAGGAGGAGGAGGAGGAGGAGGAGGAGGAGGAGGAGGAGGAGGAGGAGGAGGAGGAGGAGGAGTGGGGGGGGCACGTTGGGCCAGGGGCGCTTCTGGCACCACCCGGCAGGACTGCGAGCTGGGCGGACTGGACGGAACTGGAGTTTGATTCAGTCATTCCAGGCCTCCCAGGTGGGGTCGAAGCAGATGGGTGCGGAGGATCGCTCCGCATCGCCGCTGCACCGGCGATGCGGCTCGATGTGGAATCCGAGCCCCAGCAGGCCCAGCCGGCCACGGCCAGTCCGCAGTCGCTGACCCCGAGCAGGCGGGGGTTCAGCAGCAGCGCCGGCGCGGGAGGCGATGGTGGAACCTCTCCCATGGGCGAGGGCACCAACCGCAGTGCAGGTGGGCGCCCGACGAAAATGAAGGCTGCCGACATCAGCCCCAAGTCTGGCAAGGTGACCACGATGATGGTGCGCAACTTGCCCCCCACGCTGAGGCAGCACGACTTCGTCTTGGAGCTCAACGCCACCGGCTTCGAGGACGCCTTCGACATCTGCTACATCCCCAGGGACTTCTCCTCTGGGCACTGCAAGGGATACGCCTTCGTGAACTTCCAGCAGGCCGTCGACGCTTCCCGCTTCCGCGCCACCTGGCACCGCACGGAACGCTTCGGGTGCCGCGAACACCTCGTGGATGTGTCCCCAGCCCGCACCCAGGGCTTCGAAGCCAACGCCGCGAAGGCCAACTCTGCCCACGTGGCCAAGGTTCGGAACCCGGGCTTCCGCGCGCTCGTCCTCCGCAAGGGCCAGGCCGCCGAGCCGGCGGCGCCCTTCGGAGCGCCGTGCGGCGCGGAGCTCGGCACGCCGCCGCGCGCGCCCCCCGGCCAGGCCAGCAGCTTGAGCCCGGCAGCCGTCCGCAGGCCGCTGGGACGCGGCGCGACGCCACTGTCATCGAAGCACAAAACGCGCCACACACGTCAACTTTTGGCGCTCCGCGCGGATTTCTCGGATCTGCGCTGCGCCCCCCCCGGCGGCGCCTCTGGCGCCGGCGCGCTCCGCGCGCCAGGGAGGGGGGTCCCGCGCAGATCCGAGAAGTCCGCGCGGAGCGCCAAGAGTTTGTGCTGGTGGCCTTCTTCGGTTCTTCTAGCCATATCCAGGGAACTCCCACGGGCCTCCCCGCCCCGAGGCGGGCGGCCGCGTCGTGGGGTCTGCGCGGCCGGCGCCGCAGGAGCTCCTCGGCACGCATGGCGGCTTCCCAGCGCCGCCCCACGTGCAGCACCGTTTGCCGCAGCACCCGCTGGCAACCAGCCCAGCCATCGCGCCCCACCTGGTGCCAGACGGTGTCGCTGTGGTGGCCGTCATGTTGGTGGGCATCCCCCAGCACACCATGCTCAAGGAGAGCCTGGCGATTCAGGTGAACTCGACGCCGCACTATGGCAGCATCGCTGCTCGGTGACGTTTCTGCTCACGGCCGGCACCCCGGGATGTCGCGCCCCATTTCGTACCCCTGTCCACGGCTAGTTGCATGCGCCCAACTACGGCAAGTTGGTTCGCGCCGCAATCTCGGTTTGCTTATCGCTCTTCCTCCTCCACCTCGCCTCCCCGTCTCTGATCCTTATTTCTCTCCTCCTCCTCCTCCTGCATTTCTTTCTGGAAGTGTAAACTTAAGTTCCGCACGACTTGATATAGCAACGCCCTATATCACAACCGTGCCAGCCTCGAGCCGCGCCGAGGAAAGGACTGCGACACCGCAGACCCCTCTTGCTTCCGAGCCGAGTCGCGAGCTTGCCTCCCTCCTCCGCCTCCTTCCCCTCACCTTTTCTCCACCTAGGAGGAGGAGGAAGAGGAGGAAGAGGAGGAGGAGGAGGAGGAAGAGGAGGAGGAGGAGGCTGAGGAGGAGGAGGAGGAGGAGGAGGAGGAGGAGGAGGAGGAGGATGAGGAGGAGGAGGAGGAGGAGGAGGAGGCGGAGGTGGAGAGGAGGAGGAGGGGAGGAGAGGAGGAGGAGGAGGAGAGGAGGAGGAGGAGGAGGAGGAGAGGAGGAGGAGGAGGAGAGGAGGAGGAGGAGGAGAGGAGGAGGAGGAGGAGGAGGCGGAGGAGGAGGAGGAGGAGGAGGAGTTGGAGGAGTTGGAGGAGTTGCAGGAGTTGGAGGGGAGGAGGAGGAGGAGGAGGAAGGAGGAGGAAGGAGGGAGGAGGGAGGGGGGAGGGAGGGAGGGGGGGAGGGGGAGGGGGGAGGGGGACAGCTAGGTGCGCTCGCGTCATATCTGACATCCTACCCCTCCCTCCCATCCCTTACCATGGCGCAGATCCCCTCTTTACTCGCACAGTCGGATGTTGAGCAGGGCAATGATGCCGAAAGGGTACGCGATGCATTGTAGAGCACGGCATTGCATGGCGTAGAAGAGCACCGCAAAGCGTAGTATTAACGTAGCACTGCATTGCATGCCGTGGCATGGCACGGGAACTGACGCCAGCGCTGCAGCGGGAGCACGAGTCGAAACGAGCGGAAGCGCGGAAGTGAGGCCTGCGCTGCAGCGGGAGCACGATTCGGAACGAGCGGAAGCACGGAAATGAGGCCAGCGTTGCAGCGGGAGCGCGATTCGGAACGAGCGGGGCCCGAAAATGAGGCCGGCGCCTCAGCGAGAGCAGCATTTTGAACAAATGCAGGCGAAAACCCAACTCTGGGGAATCCTTTGTGTAAAAAAAGTACGCGGGGGGGGTCGGACACCTTCAAGCCGTCATCATGGAGGGAGCGTAGTATTCATATTGAGTAATTGTGGAGGAGGTGGAGCAGGAGCAGGAGCAGGAGGAGAAGGAGGAGGAGGAGGAAGGAGGA